GGGAGAAAACCCGAATAACCAAAGATCCACATACAAATACCCATGAGAACCTCAGAATGAATATATGATATATGTTTACTCTAAAAAATTATTCTTTTTCATTTTCGTTCTCACTAAGTATGTGCACTATTTTCCCTAGCTACGTGTGTTTCAATTTCTTTTCTGAGAATTAGATTGTATAGATTTGGTGACATGACTACATTAACAGTATTGGATAATCAGTGCTTTCGAAAGCGCCCCGAGGGTCTGGTGTTGTTTCTAAAAGCATGTCCACAGTAGCTTAAAACACCGATATCTTTTTGTTGTGTCCCCAGGATATTTTGTTTCCTTACATCAGGGAAAACATCCGAGATTATCTGGATGCCCACTGGGAGGAGGAAGAGTGCCAGCAAGATGTTGGCTTGCTGAGAAAACAGGTAGAGCATTGGACGTCTCTGCTTCATTATTCATATATATGTTAAGATATGTGCATAGCCTCTTATCTCAACACAACTCTGGCTCTTTTCATGCCAGTCTGGATATTGGCAAGAATAACAAAGTTGGAAGGGACCTTGGAGGTCTTCTAGTCCAACCCCCCCACCCAAGCAGGAGATCATACACCATTTCAGACAGATGGCAGTCCAGTCTCTTCTTGAAAGCTTCCAGTGTTGGAGCATCCACGACTTCTGGAGGCAAATTGTTCCACTAGTTAATTCTTCTCACTGTTAAGAAATTAAAATAAAATTAGTGTGTAACTGTTTATGGGAATAAAGATATGATTTGAATATAATAGAGTAGAGGGAATACCATGTGGAATTTGGTGTAGAATATATGTATGTATGTCTACCTAATTGATAGTAGTTAAGGGACTATTATGGCTATATTGTTATAAATTTTTATAATGGGTTAAAGGGAGTAAATGGGGAAAATGTATAAGGAAGTGGGTGATAAGCTTGAATTGACAATAAAAGTGGGGGACCTTTGACTGGAATAATTGTATGTGGAAAAAAATGGCATATGTGACATGCAAGAATATATATATAATATAGAAATTGAATAAGAATATGGATAAAATTGTTAAATAAGACAGGAGAATATTTTTTAAAAATGAAATAAGCTATAATATAAAATGAGATTGTATAAAATAAAGAGTAATGGATATAGAAATTGAATAAGAATATGGACAATACTGTTAAGTAGCGTAAGAGATTATTTAAAGAAAAAGGTAATAAGTAATAATATGATATAAATTTGGACATGAAAGTTGGTATGTAATTATGGTCACGTTTGTATGGAAACGTGAAAACCTGCAACCACGTTGTTCACCTAATGAGATGTTTTTGAAAGATAAAAATTAAAAAATATTTTAAAAAGAAAGAAATTTCCCCTTAGTTGTAGGTTGCTTCTCTCCTTGATTAGTTTCCATCTGGAGAATAAGTTGATCCCCTCCTCTTTGCAGTAACTCTTTAGATATTTGAACACTGCTATCATGTCGGCCCTAGTCCTTCTTTTCAGTAGACTAGACATACCCAATTCCCGCAACCATTCTTCATAAGTTTTAGCCTCCAGGCCCTTCATCATCTTAGTTGCTCTTCTCTGTACCCTTTCTAGAGTCTCAACATCTTTTTAATATTCAAGTAACCAAAACTGGCCACCACCAATTATTACACCTGAACCTATACTAACAAATAACCCATATCAACTTCCTGATTAATTGAATAACATGACAGTAGTGTTCCAATATTTGAGAGGCTGCCGCAAAGAGGGAGCCAAGCTATTCTCCAAAGCACCTAAAGGCAGGACAAGAAGCAATGGATGGAAACCAGTCAAGAAGAAAACCAATCTAGAACTAAGGAGAAATTCCCTGACAGAACAATTAACAGTGGAACAAATTGCCTCCAGAAGTTGTAAATGCTCCAACACTGGAAGTTTTTAAGGAGAGATTGGATAACCATTTGTCTGAAGTGGTGTAGGGTTTTCTGCCTAAGCAGGTGGTTGGACTAGAAGACCTCCAAGGTCCCTTCCAACTCTTACTCTGAGTCATCAAGTCAATATGACTCTTATCAGCCATCTTGACAGATTTTCTCCATGAGGATCTTTTGTCCAAATGATGAACCTGTTACTGTCCATCCATCTTGCTACTGGCCGCCCTCTTCCTCTCTTTTCGTCCAACTTCCTAGCCTCATAAATCCAACCCTCATAAATTCTGACTTGCCAAATTGCTGACAAAATATATACATTAATGAGGTATGGAAGAAAGATTTTTTTCCCCTTCAAAACCTGTTCATCTGGAGACAAATTTTATTTGCCCAGAGGAAGGGGAAATTTTTTACAAGGCTGGACCACGGGTTATGTATAGGAAGTCATACTAGTCTACTAGGAGGTGTATTTTTTTCCTTTTAAATCGATATAAAAATGTCACACAGACCTACCCAGAAATGGCATAGAGCAAAAATACAGTGAATGTGGGAGCGCCTTACAGATTAACAGAGTTGAAAGGGACCTTGTAGGTCATCTAGTCCAACCCCCCACCCAAGCAGGAGATCATACACCATTTCAGACAGATGGCAATCCAGTCTCTTCTTGAAAGCTTCCAGAGATGAAGCTCCCACAACTTCTGAAGGCAACTTCTGTTCCATTGGTTGATTGCTCTCACTGTCAAAAAAAATCATTTATTTACTTAGAAAATTTATACAACTTCCTACTCATTCACAGTGACTCTAGGCAGCGTCAGGATTCCAGCAGTTACCCCCATTTAAATAATGAGTCTCGAGCCAAACTTCCAAAACTTAAAAAAGATTTATTGGGAGTTGACATGCTGGCACTGCCTGGGTGTAGCCGACTCTGAGACACATCATTCATTGTCACCCTTGCCCTGGTTTTCTCCCACTCCCTGGTTGTATCATAATTCATATTCTCCAATGGGACACATCCATAGCCAAGAGTCATCAATCATGCTCTCCAGTTAGAATTTTGCGTGGCAAAATCTTCGGTCACCTAGTTACTATCTTTGAAAACGTTTATGGAATGCAGTTTTGGTTTGCAAGCTGTTGCACTGCTCCCCCCTCCCTTTCTGTTGGCAAACCTAAAAGACCATACAAATATTTTATGAGTTGACAGGCAGCTTGTAAGCGATAAAAACACAGTATAAAAATTAAAATTAAAGTAAATAAAAATTCCAGTACACACCACCTCGAGCAACAATAAACAGTCAAATGAAGTATTTAATGGGGTCCGTCCCATTTCTGGATTCCTCAGGCCCGTTGGAAAAACCGAGTCGCCAAGGCCTTACGAAAAAGTGTCTAAAGTGGGAGCCTGTCTAATTTCTGAAGGGATGATATTCCAAAAGGAGGGAGCCACCATGGAGAAGGCCCATCTCCTGGGTCCCGCCAGATGTATCTCCTTAGTCTATCTCACCTTGCCCGTTTTCTGTTTTGACTTCCTTAGGCTGAAGAAGACTCTCATATGGAGGGAGTGGTGCCTATCCCACTGGAAACCAGGGATGGAGAAGAAGAGGTTGAACGGGTCATCCAAGCCGTGGTAGACAATGTCCTCTGGCAGATGTCTTTGGATAGGAAGACCACAGCTTTGAAACAGCTCCAGGGCCACATGTGGAGAGCGGCCTACAAAAATGGCCGCCTGAAAGGAGAGTGAGTAGTTCCTCGTGGTGGGCGGACTTCTTCTGTAGCTGAGGCCGCTTTATACATAATTTCTTTCTATCATCCAAGAGGTATTGCAATGAAATGATATCATCAAAAGGAGCTAGGATGGAGTGTTTGGCTCTTTTTATCAGGGGGTGATTTAATACAGGTTAGACTTAAAACCATTCATTTAGTGACCAAATTACAACAGTACTGAAAAAAAGGGACTTAGGATCGTTTTTCACACTTAACGTCAACTTGTAAAATATTCCTACACTTGTTCCCAAGTTGGGGGTAGAGAGACTAGAGAAGCGTATGGCAAATGAACTTAGAAGCACATTCCGACTTTATCTTTAAAAAGATTGTAGCTAAGCTACTGAAGCTTTTGCCCGGAAAAACTTTAATTAGAGAATGTGATGGGTGACACCTAGCCCATGTAGGTGCTTAATTGGAGAAACTGATTTATGGCACACGCGGGGGGGGGACACGACAGGGGAAGCAGGGTCACGGGTGACTGTAATTACATCTGCCAGAATCGTCTTCATACAGGTCATGCCAGTATGTCGCTCCTAATGAATTCTTTTGTGATGACCCAGGGTGGGATACAAAAGCAATAAAGTCACAAAAACAGGTGAAGTCTCTTTAATTCCTTCCACTTGGCTTCAAAGGTCCAATTATCATTGACTGGAGAAAAAACTCTCCCACAAACAGTTGCGAAAAGGAAGAACTTCCATTCAAACTCAAAATACATACAAATTATAAATAGGAAAAAAACCACACTGAAGCAATTAATGAGGCAAGGCAGCATAAGGGCTTGAAGACGTCCACAGATATCGAACTACACACACTGGGAAGGATGCCAGAACTCAGATAAGAACAGACAAACTAGAAATATTTTCATGCTTTGCTTCCAGTACTGGCCCATGCTCAGTTTGTCCTCACAGCTGCCAGCCCATGAAGGGGATCAAGGCCCTTTCCTCCCCTGTAGACCACGCCATTCGCATTTCTCCCTTATCTACTCTTCCCTGCGTGCCCGAGGATAAAGAGGGGATGGGCCTGGGTCTTCCTCTGAATGCCTAGCTGGCCTGTGCCGTTCCCCAGTTTCCTCCACAACCTCCAGAGCCACACTCCCACTCCCTGTCGGCTGTTTCTCCTCTCCCTTGGAATCAGATTCTAACGGGGGCATGACATCTTTAAAGTTTTTTGAAGTTTGGCTCAAGGCTCACAATTTAATTAGGGCGATCGCTGGAATCCTGACACTTATGACCGTTACAGCATCTCCGTGGTCATGTGATTGAAATTCAGATGCTTGGCAACGGGTTCATATCCATGACGGTGGCCATGTCCCTTTTGTGACCTTCTGATAAGCAAAGTCAGTCGGGAAGCCAGATTCACATAACAGCCATGTGACTAACATAACAACTGCAGTGATTCATTTAACAGCTGTGGCAAGAAAGATGGTAAAATGGGAGAAAACTCACTTAACAAATGTCTCACTTAGCAACAGAAATTTGGGGCTGAATTGTAGTCGTAAATTGAGGACTAGCTGTACAGTGCTCTCACAGAAACTAGCATTTTCTACAATAACTACTCTGAAATGCTCTTGCCTCATTTATACAAGACACAACCCCCTTGCACTGTTTTCTACAACTTTGGAAAGCAATATTTTTGTTCAACCTTTCCTTAAATATTTGATGATTATCTGATTTTACCACGGTTGTTTTAATTGCTTTTCAAATACACTATTTGTCGTTCACTGATTCAACATCATGCTTAGGATAAGCTTCCAGTGATGTCTTAAATATGGGTGAGGAAGGCTGTTTCATTGCCTCTTCAACAATTTTGTCTCTATGCCCTGCTTGGCCCATTCCAGATTCTTTAAGGATGTCGTTCCCGCAGTGAAAAAGTGGAAAGAAGCAGGAAGAAAAGTGTACATTTATTCCTCTGGGAGTGTGGAGGCTCAAAAGCTTTTGTTTGGGAATTCTACAGAAGGTGATATTTTAGAGGTAAGTATGTCTCAGAAAGGTTGGCAGTTCGGCAGTTCGAATCCTTAGCACCACGTAACAAAGTGAGCTCCCGTTCCTTGTCCCAGCTTCTGCCAACCTAGCAGTTCGAAAGCACGTAAAAAAATGCAAGTAGAAAAATAGGGACCACTTTGGCGGGAAGGTAAGACCGTTTCGTGCGCCTTCAGCGTTCAGTCATGCCAGCCACATGACCACGGAGACGTCTTCGGACAGCGCTGGCTCTTCGGCTTTGTAACAGAGATGAGTATCGCCCCCTAGAGCCGGAAACGACTAGCACGTATGTGCGAAGGGAACATTTACCTTTATACAGTTTAAATATCTATGGAGATTCTCAATCATCCAGGTCATGGTTGTCCTGAAGGTGATTTTTTTTTTCCTTGAAAATATTTCGCTTCTCATCCAAGAAGCTTCTTCAGTTCTGATTGAATGTTGGGGAGAGTGGAAAGATTTCTATTCTTCGCAGTCACTTGGTTGTTAGCACTCTGAAGATCAGTCTTCAGTTCTCTGAGAGTCATTGAGGCCACTTGTAAATTTATCTTCACCCTCAGGATTACCTGAATCCGAGTGCAAATCAGGGGTTGGAACTTTCTTCAGGCTGCTGAGATGACTTGTGTTGTAGGCAGGAGATGGTGATACTGTATCCCTTCCCCTCTGTTGAGAGGGGGCTGTTCAATTTCAGAGGGCTAACAGCCAGATGACTGCAAAGAATATAAACCCTTCCCTTCCCCACCATTCTGCCTGAACTGAAGAAGCTTCCTGGATGAGAAGCAAAATGTTTTCAAAGAAAAAAAAGAAAGTCCAGTTGCCTTTTGGAAAAGCACGTTTGGGATATACAATCAAAAGATGAACCAACTGCCCACACAAACACTCTTCCAGTGTTTTCCTGCCAAAGATAGGAACACTTTAGGCCTCTACAACAGCAGTAATATTACAAAGACAGCCATCGTGATATAGTGCTTAAGGTGTTGGACTAGAACCATAGGAATCCCAAGTTTCTAGTTTGTCCTCAGCCATAAAAATTCCTCAATTGATTTTGGGCGAGTCCCTGGGCAGCTTACTTCAAGAGGATTGTTGGAAGAATAAAACATAAGAACTACATTACATCCACTTTTGGTCACCACAATATAAAACAAGATGTGGAGACTCTAGAAAAAGTGCAGAGAAGAAGCAACACAGATGATTAGGGGACTGGAGGCTAAAACATGAAGGATGGTTGCAGGAACTGGGTATGTCTAGTCTAGCGAAGAGAAGGACCAGGGGAGACATGATAGCAGTATTCCAATATCTCAGGGGCTGCCCCAAAGAAGAGGGAGTCAGGCTATTCTCCAAAGCACCTGAAGGCAGGACAAGAAGCGATGGGTGGAAACTAATCAAGGAGAGACCCAACCTAGAACTAAGGAGAAATTTCCTGACTGTCAGAACAGTTAATCATTAAAACAACTTGCCTCCAGAAGTTGTGGGTGCTCCATCACTGGAGGTTTTTAAGAAGCGGTTGGACAACCCTTTGTCTGGCATGATGTAGGGTTTGCTGGTTGAGCAGGGGGGGTTGGACTAGAAGAGACCTCCAAGGTTCCTTCCAATTCTGCTCTTCTGTCATGTTCTCCTTCCACCCATCAGCTTTTTGATGGCCACTTTGACACCAAGATAGGACCTAAAGTGGACAGCGAGAGCTATCAGCGGATTGCTGCAAGCATTGGATGCGCCACAAACAACGTACTCTTCTTGACGGACGTCACTCAAGGTAATAAAGCCGGTGGGTGTTCTCTGGTGTGGTGAGGGGGTATATGTGTAGTTCGTGCTAGAGGCAAGAGCACATGTCCTGAAGGTCAGCAGCGTGGAGCGAAGTTTTACAAAAAAAATAAATAATTACCTTCTGTAACCCCCCCTTTAGGGAAGAAGAGCTGTAGAGAGGGTGCTTCGGATCTAAAGTAGATCGGGTTTAATTTTTGACACTGCTAGTTTGGAGAGCTCTGTCCAGGCTCGTGATTTTAAGGCAACCACAATCCACTTAAGTCTGCTGTGTGACTTCCACATCGTTGGAGTTAGAAATTGCAAAAAAAAAAAAAAGAGGGAGGAATATCTCTGTTTTAGTTAATTCTCACATTTAAAAAAAAAAACCTTGCAAACTTGTGAGTAACAGGATTGTTTCTGAGGGTAGATTTTCTGATGGGGCTGTCAAATGAAGCTTTCCTCTCTCCCCTCCCCAAATTATTGCCCGAAATGGTTTGAATATACGGATATGTTTTTTGCAAGGTGCTTCTCTCCTCCCCCCCCCCCCCCCCCCCTCTAAATAGGCCCTTTACATGTAGTCTTTGACTTACTGTAGCAGGGGTCTTCAACCTTGGCAACTTTAAGACTTGTGGACTTCAACTCCCAGAATTCCTCAGCCAGCCCGATTCACTTTGCAGCTGGGTTACTAATTAAACAACTGCAAAAATTCACTTAATAACCATGGCAAGAAAAGTCGTAAAATGGGGCAAAATTCACTTAAGAAATACCTTGCTTAGCCACAGAAATGTTGGGCTCCGTTGAGGTTGTAAGTCGAAGATTATATGTACCTGGACCGAACAGGTGATAACCCCAGAAGTAGACGGTTCAGTGCTGTCCAGACACGAGCCATGGTGGCACCGTGGTTAGAGTGCAGTACTTGCAGGCTACTTCTGCTGCTTGCAATTTGGCAGTTCGAATCCCACCAGGCTCAAGGTTGACTCAGCCTTCCAGCCTTCCGAGGTGGGTAAAATGGGGACCCAGATTGTTTGTGGGGGGAGGGAGGCAAGAGGCTGACTCGGTAAACTGCTTAGAGAGGGCTGTCAAGCACGGTGAAGTTAAGTCTAAGTGCTGTTGCTATTGTCTAATGAGCCTCTCTTTGCGTCCCTTAGAAGCAGATGCAGCCGAAGAAGCAGACATGCATGTGGCTGTCGTAATCCGGCCAGGCAATGCAGGACTGACAGACGATGAGAAATCGTATTACAGACTCATAACCTCTTTCAGCGAATTGTTCCTGCCATCCTCTGCTTAAAATTTGCACCTAGGATTCAGGAAGGGATGCGGAAAAAGAGGAGCCGCCGAGAAAGTTATCCTTACCGTTTATCGTCCTTCCTGCCAGCGATGAAGAGTCTCGAAAACAGAAATATTGGGCCCCTGACTCCCCTGATGAGACACAATTGAACCTGGTGGAAAATTGCCAGTTCTTTGATAGTAGCAAAGTGAGGGGTTGACTTGGTTTTCCTTTGGATTTGCAAACGGAAGAATCAAGAGGTGCAACTCAAGAGAAGGTTCTCCTGTCTTTTTGAGGTCAACCGGTTGGATGCAAATACCACCCTCCAGTTCAAAGGGGCAGCAATGAAGACTTTATTTAAGGGATGTGTCTTGGGTACATACACTACAAACTCTCATCTCTTATTCGCATCACACTTGATTGCAGGTTTTTTAAAGTCTTCTCTTCTTTGTAGTAAACGTAGGGGAAATCCAGTCTATTTATAGTTGAAAAATGTTGCAAGCTGAGCTCTCTGAATTGATTGGTCTTGGAAAGGAAAGGAAAAAGCAGCACAGGCACCATGAATTAAACTGCACATGCAAGCTAGTAAGAACATCTACGTGCCAACTGGAACATGTTTGCATGTGGAAGGCATGATTGATCCTTCGTCACAAGAGTTGCATGATTGCTCAAAGGTTGTCCTACTTAACCTGGGGGAAGGGGATGCTTTTTTTTGGCTGGGAAAAATTGCTGGGAAATTGCATTCTAAATCCTGCAGGTTAGTTCCTTACCTGTTGCACTCGAAGGTGTAATGGAGACCTGATTGTTTTGTGTGGCTTCACTTGTTCCTTTTATGTGCAGCATTTCAAGAGTGGTAAGCATGTCTCAGTGTCAGCAACTCTTCCTTTCTGTTTGGTTGGTTTTTCAAGGTGTTTCAGCAATCCAAAACAGAAGTATTTGTCTCTTCAGCACGTTGCACATTTTATGTTCTGCTAGAAGTAATGTTTTGCCTCCCCAAAACCTACTCCTTTTCACCAAGGATGGAAGGGGGAACAGTCCCAAAATCCTATTGAATGCAATATTTTTTTCCATTTGGCCAGTCTGTTTTGGAGTTACAACCTTGCGTGGAAAATGGGCTTGTTGTTACAACTGCAAAGCTGGATAAAGTACTGAAATCATAAGATGTCATCCCAGTTTAATTGGAAATGTCCAGAGAGTCTAGTAGGCTGCCAGGAGTCTTACAATGGAACAAACCCACAATGTCTCACAGGTATCAAACTCAAGGCCTGTGGGCCGGATTTGGCCCGTGAGGTGCTTAAGTGGAAATAGCATTGGACCCGCCTGCGGTGCCTCTGGCAGTCAAAATGGGGCGCAGGGAGACTCCACGCGACCCCCTGCACCCTGTTTTTGGCCTGGATGAACTTTTAATGGCCAAAACAGGGCACGGGGGGGGTGGACTGCCATGTGTGCCCCTCCCGTGCCCCGTTTTGGCTGGTGAAATGCTGCAGAGGTCATTTAGACTGAAAACAAGGCGCGGGGGGGGGCAGCACGCGGCCCCTCCCCTGCCCCCTCTTGGATGGCAGGGTGCTACAGGAGGTGTCCATCCTGTCTCTTCCACCACCACCACCCAGCCCGTGAAGGAGAACTGCAGTGGTGATCCAGCCCTCAAAGAAATCCAGTTTGACATCCCGTAATTTGATGCCCCCTGTATGTGTGTTGTGGGCAGCCCTTCCAATACTTGAAGGTGTTGTTAGAATCGGGCTTGCTGTTGTGTTCCAGGTGGAAAGGGCTTGGTGTTACACACAAACAAATAGCCTGTTCCTCAAAATCCGCTATATACAATCCACAGAGGAAAAATCAGACACGGTATTAAAATTCTCGCGTATTGAGCTTATAAATCCTTTCCCAGTCTGGATGCTAATGGAGAGTGGCTCCGTATTGCCGATGTAGTCAATGTCCATATAGGATTGTTGCCTTGTGCATGTCTTGCCTTTAAATAAAATCTATGACTGAAGTAAAAGACTTGTGTCTGAAAGTAGCTTCAGCTTAGGTGGTTGCCCTAAGTGTGCATTTGTGAGGGGGAAAGTCAACTTTTATTTTATTTTTTTTACTGTTGATAACTCGTTCAATATCTTTTCAGTTTCTGAGGTATGCCAATGAACAGTGGTGGGATTCCAAATTTCTTCCTATGAGAGCGTGCTTTGTGCAAGCTTCGCGCATGGCTCAGCAATCAAAAAACACCTTCTGTCAGCGCTGGTGAGGTGAGCTGTTTTTTAGCTCAGCTGAGGCGTGGCAATCTGCTCTGCTTCGTGAATCAGCTGAGCTAAAAAAAAACTAGGGAATACAGGACAGAATGGCAGGGGTGGTAGGGCGGGGCCAGTCAGAGGTGGTATTTGCTGGTTTTTCCGAACTACTCAAAATTTCCGCTACCGGTATGCCAGAACCAGTCTGAACCAGCTGAATATCACCTCTACCAATGAAGACAATCTTGTCCAGATCAAGGAAATCTCTGCTTTGTATCTAAACCTTTAGGTATTTAATTCAGATTTTCCTCAGACACATGTCCTTTACTGAGGCCCAAATCCAGATCAGTACAGGTAGTCCTCAACTTACAACAGTTCATTTAATGACCGAAGTTACAACAGCATTGAAAACAGTGACTTGCGACCATTTTTGTACACTTACGACCATTGCAGCATCCCCATGGTTGACCTGATTTACATTCGGCTGCTTGACAACTGGTTCATATTTATGACAGTTGCAGGGTCCCGGGGTCATGTGACCATCTTTGGCGACCTTCTGTCAAGCAAAGTCAATGGGGAAGCATGATTCATTTAACAACTGTGTTACTAATATAACAATTGCAGTGATTCACTTAACAAATATGGCAAATCTCATGTAACCAATTTCTCGCTTAGCAACTTAAGTTCTGGGATTAATGGTGATCATAAATTGAGGACTAGCAGTATTACTTACTCCTTCTTGTTCTCCTTCCCTAAGCTTAGGAAGAAAACAGTGCAAACACAGATGGGCCCCATCTTACAATTATAATTGAGCCTGGAATTACAGTCGTTAAGTGAGCCATCATAGGAACAGATTTTACATTTTTTGCAGCTGCAGCCGTCATTAAGTGAATGTTAAATGAACCACTGTCCATTATGGGGTTTTTTTTAGCCAGAAACTGGAAGTAGGTGCCAGTTTCAAACAAAGAATATTGTAAATAAATGAATAAAATTGTAGTCGTGTGACTATGGGTACTACAAATGGACATAAATGCAGGCAGGTTGTCAATCCTATGACCAGAGAGAACAGCCATCGTAACTGAACAAGTACCTCTTTTGGGAGGGTCCATCACAACTTTGAATGGTCAGTAAGTGACCAGTTATAAGTCAAGAACTACCTGTACATTCCCCATGGAGAAAAATGTAAGTGTCATATAATCCCCTCTAGTTTGGGCTTTGGCTAAACCTCTTCTGGATAATCGGTCTCTTCCCTGCATGAACACAGATGTTTCTGTGAGTATTTGAGCAACAAGGCTATTCTCAGTGGGCTTCTCTGAATATTTTTAATTGCTTGGCATTCAGACTCCGCTTTATAAAGCAAGCAAGAATATAAATATGTTGTGTAGGTACAAGCATAGAATAATGCCCAAGCTTTCCATAAAAGAAATTTATTTAGTGGTCACATATCAGTATACAGTTATGAAGTTTTTGCTCAACCATATTGAAAAATGTGCCGTAAGAAGTACTTAAAAGGTATTTACACCATTGTCGTGAAAAAAAGTTGGGTTGCATATTCAATGGAGAGAGAGAGGAAATATTCACAAAACAATTTCTTTTCCTCCCTTTCAGGAAAAAAATGCAAAATATAAATGATACAACATAAACATTTTTTAAAAATACACAATGAATTATTTACAGTAAAACACATTTTAACAGAAACCCATTTAGCTGCTTGTTGGTGGATTTCTTGTGTTTCCAACCTTTTCCTTAACTGGAGAAGCACAGCTGGTTTGGATTCCTCTATACAGCTGGGATAAGCAACCTGTTACCCACCAGATGTTGGTAACATAATCCCTTGCCATCCTGTCCAGAGGTGTTGGGAAATGAGTTGCAAAATATCTGAACAGTATTTAGCTATCTACACCTGACTTACCTCCCTCAAACCCCTCTAATATAGAATCACTTGTGTATTTTACAGTTGTGCGTGCTTTTATGTCCTACATTGATAACCATTATCACTTTGACAGATCTCCTAATTATTAAACTTCAGCTTTTCACCCAATTCATTGCTCTCTCTGTTCAATATTTTCTGACTCCTATTTCAAGCATTCACTATCTCAGTCGAGATTCTGGCCCAATTGTTGAAATTTAAAGTGTTGGACTTAATCCAGTTTATGTTCAGTGAGATTTACTCCGATGTAAAATTAGGTAAGATTGTGTAGCAAATAATTTCATCCCAAAAGTCTACCTCCAACTGTAGTTATTTAATTATTCCATATAGCAAATTAGCAACTTTTCAATTGTCAAGCTCTTAGTTATTGCTGCTTGGTTAACATTCCAACATCATCTGATTTTATTTTTCCCCCACTTCAAAACATGTTACACTTTTCTCCTTAAGTAACAGTTCTACCCCACAGCTTCACATTGGCGTATCTAGTCTTAAAATTCCAGCATAGAAACATCTTCCAATCTCTGAAAAAAAGATGTGTTAAATATACAGGCCACATACAGGAAAAAGAAAACTCATATGCAACTTGAAAAATGACCTAGAAAGAGGATTTTGCAGGACACCTCCTTGAGATTCCTGCTACTATGCAAATACTAAAGGCTCAGAAACAATCCTATCTTGTGCATCTGGCTATCTAGGATTCCATAAATGCCCATCATCCATTCACTGGGCCCCAGAGGGAAGCCGCATAAAAACATTTGTGTGTGTGTGTGTGTGTGTTCTCGTTCCCCAAAGTGAGAAATGAACCTGTTTTCAATATAAAGGGTGGCAAAAGCACCAGAATATGGGAAGGCAGGTAGACTGACAATCCAAGCCCTGATTTTTGTGAGGTCAAGCACCATCTGCTCACTCTAATGAGGCTTCAGGCTGCAATAAAATCGGCATTTCCTTTCAAAGAGTCTGAAATGCAGAGAACGGTAGGGAAAGATAACACTGTACCTCAGCAGACAACTGACCTCAGAAACTCAATAACACGGGAAAGTGGTTTGCAAACCTCCACAGTAATAGACATGGGAACTGTAAATTCCGTGGCCAAATGTACAGGTTATAGTTAAAGCTTATTACACAATGGATCTGTAAAATACTAGCTGTGGTATCACAATCATAACCCTGTCACAATCATAACCTGTCTTCTGCATGGTGTGTGCATACAGACACCAGGTGCAGCTTGCATTGCAACTTGACGTATCGTTTTGCAAATTTGGATACACCACCATCCAGTGGATGATATATCCATAGACCATGGTTGCTGTAGAATTCTGGTCTAAAAGTTATTGAAGGTAAAAAAGGCCCTTTCCATTTTTTACAGTCACTCAAGGCGTAACTGCATATACTATACGTATGGATAACAGTTCTTCATAGTTCTTGGCTACCTCTTTTGTGTAACAATATAATGCAAAATTAAGTTCTGCCAGCCAGTTACAAGAGAACTATGGGAAACAAACCTAAACTCAATGACTCAGCATCTCATACCGTGTAGCAAAAAAAAAAAAGGAGCAAAGAGTAGCGTGGACAAAATGTTTCAAACTCCGCCGTTTCAAGGACAAAGCACCCAGTCTTAAATGTGCAACAACTGTTCTAAGCAAGACATGGGCTGTTTTGAACATTGGGGAAAATGTGCCAGCAATGCTCCGCCTTGAGCCCAGAAAACGTGCAGGAAGTTTCTCGCTTTGCGTTTAGAACAACCATTTTGTATTTGAGGCAGGATGTCACCCAAAGGTGCTTTTTTCAGGCACTTTGTTTTCCCTTGAAGGTGTTTCGCTTCTCATCCAAGACTCTTCTTCCGTTCTGACTGAAGAACTGAAATGAACTGAAGTCAACACGGAAGAAACTTCTTGGATGAGAAGCGAAACGTCTTCAAGGAAAAGTCCAGTGGCCTTTTGAGGAAAAAAAAAAAAGCACTTTTGGGACAACCATGATCTGGATGACTCAGAATCTCCACAGAATTTGAGGCCGGGTGTTCGTGTTCAAACTGGAAGCGGCTCAGTTAGAAACATTTTGTGAATCCATGCAAAGAGCCATCTTGTTCTTTCTTCGGAAGAAATTTTGGGCGATTGCAGAGAGAAATTAGGAGGGGAAAAAAAGCGCTAAAACACGGTAAATGAAAGAGGCCGTGAGTTCAATCCTTTAACATCAAACATCATCCGCCTGGTCAGTTGGGGGATGGGTTACACCTGATCTGTTTGATACTCGGAGGCTTCAGAGAGGCTTTCAGAAAAGCTGAGGAAATTCTCTTGGTACTCGGAGCAAATGATCTCGAACCGGTAATGTCTGAATTCCACCGCGAAGGAGCCGAAGAAACATAGGAAGCACATCACCATTCCCCACTGGATCCGTGACGCATGCATGTGCAACTTGAACTCATTCATCAAAATGAAATCTGAAGGAGGGTCAAGGAAAATGCACCGAAACATACACAGTAAGCGCAGCAAACATTGGGATGCCTCTTGGAATCAGGGCTATACCTGAAACCTACATCCCACTGAACCCGCGTCTGACCATGGAAAGCTGCATTAAAGGCAGGCCTTGACTTACAACCATCTGTTTAGTGATAGTTCAGCACTGAAAAAAGTGACTTATGACCATTTTTCACACAGTGTTACAGCATCCCCATGGTGACACAATCAAAAGTCAGGAGCTCAGAAATTGGCAGATATTTTATGAGGGTTTCAGTGTCTCGGGGACCACGTGATCACTTTTTGCGATCTTCCAATCACATTTTGTTAAGTTATAAAGTATTGTAAAATAAGAAATAACTAAATAAAAGGACAATGAGGGGAAGAGGGAAGAAAAGTGGGGAAAGATAGGGAAACTTTTTGTGACCTTCTGACAAGTCAACGAGGAAGCCAGATTCACTTAACAACTGTGGCAAGGTCGTAAAATGCGACAAAACAACTCTCTTGCTTAGCAACAGAAATAGTTGGCAGAATTGTAAGCTCTATTTCATATTGCTTATTCAACCACGGTTTGCAACTTTGTTAGTCATAAGAACATAACCAAACCACATTAACCTACAGTAAGCAACTGGAAATGTTATTTCTAGACCATTAAGACTCGTGAAGATATTGCTGCTTGTGTTTTCCCCCCCACAATATATTCATCAA